GCACTGCAGCACCCCCCTACCTCCAGTACACAGGACCTACTGGTTGGGAGCAGAGAGTCTACTTGCTTTGGGGCTGAGCCCACCTTGGGAGGGAGGGGCACAATCCAGGACAGAAATCTTTGCAAGGTGGAGTTGGTGAAAAATAGACTTGAGGCCTAGAATTCCTTTGTACTGTAAGGGCCAGGAGCATGTATTGTCTAGCTCTGCCACACACACCCCCCCTCTTTGCCCCATTCCCCAATCAAACTTACATTAGTTCTGAGACATGTTATGTGATGGATGAGTGAGTAAACAAATGAGTATGCTGCCATACTTTCTGCTTTTCAAGGAGTCCATGTAATGACCCTAGAAAGGGAAGTAAGGCAAGTTGTAGAAAGAAGGAAAAAAATGGTTCTCCATTTTACAGATGGAGAAGATAAAGCTCAGAAAGGGGAAGTCATTTGCTCAGCCAGTTGGTAGCTGACCTAAGACCATCTCTTACCTCCCAGTCCAGAGTGCTCTCTAGACCAGTGCTTCTTAAACTGTGGGTCGAGACCACATGTGGGGTTGCAAACCCACAGTGTAAGAAGTGCTGAGTGTGGGGCAGCTAGGTGATGCAGTGGATAGAGCTCCGGCCTTGGAGTCAGAAGGGTCTGAGTTCAAATGCGGCCTCAGACACTTGACACTACTAGCTGTGTGACCCTGCGCAAGTCACTTGACCCCGACTGCCTCACCAAAAAAAGAAAAAAAGAAGTGCTAAGGGTTCATGAGTGGAAAAAGTTTTAAGAAGCCCTGCTCTAAAGTATCCCACACTGCTGCTGTTTTAGGGACATAGGCCCAAGTTGGTCAAGAGCTTTTGTCCACACTCTGCGCCTCATTTCCCTACTTGGATGCAGTGCTTGCTACAACTTACTTTAAAGGCAGATAGCACAGATTGGAGTCCGTTACAAAAGCTGATGCCTGTTGCTGCTCCCATGGCCTAGACCGTTGGTTTTGAGAAAAGGTTTTGACCTTGGTAGTTATCCTCCCCAACAAGAGGAGCAGTCCTTGGACTTGTGTATGTGTGTCTAGTTTACCTTCTTAGAGTGACATGGGCAGGGGGTGAATTGGGGAGAGGGTGGGGAGAGACTTCCTCATTGTGAAGCCTCTTAAAACTAGGCACCTCTTTGAGCTCAGCTTACTGGTCAGGCTACCTGCCTGCTGCCGCCTCAGCCCTTCCCCTGAGGTCCAGGGACGGAGGCTTTTATTACTCCCTTACACCAGAGAATCTCCCTCTGGCCAGCAGTGTTCACTGAAGCACGGGTCAGACCCTCAGACAACATAAAATACAGCCTCTCCCTAAATAGGCACGGGTCCCTAGCAAGTCTCTAGCCTCCAGTGGAGGACTTCCAAAGTTGGGGACCTCAGTGTTTTTAGGAAGTGTTTCCTTACATCAGACTAAAAGTCTCTACATTGTTCCAGATTCTGTCCTGTAGGTCCAGGTTAATTGCACTCGAATGTGACAGGCCTTCAGATACAGGAACATCCTTGGATTACACTTAATTGTGTGTAGGTTGTAGCTTGTCGGTGGTACGGAAGCCCTTGAGGGCCCTCTTATCTGGATCCCTTGTGCCTAGGCAGTGCCTGAACCACAGCAGACACAGTAGAAATGTTTGTTGAATTGACCTGATCACCTGCCCCTCCTTCCTTCCCTCTCCCCCCCAAAAAAATGTTTAGTTCTTCAGGCTCTACATCCCCAGTCCCTGCCAGCCCATCACCATCCTGGTGGCCCTCCAGGTTGGCCCCATCCTTCTTAAAATGTGGTACCCAAAATACTTGCCTCATTTCTGTAGCTTTGAGCGTGAGCAGTGCGCTTTTCTCAGTAGCTCAGGCAGCTTGGTAGTGCACGTATCATAGTTTTCATTTTACATATTCTAACTGATAAGTTCTGTGCCTTGGTCTAAATTTATAAATTTATATCCATTCACTTTGCCCTGATCAAGCCTATTATTATTTGAGTAAGCCTTCTTTGGGGGCTGGTGGTTCTTTGGTGGGGAGCTTTGTTTTTATTTTGTTCATCGTTGTCAGGAGCTGTCTGTTTCCTCTCTCTTCCTCCTGCGCAGCGCCTTATCCCTCTCAAGCGTGCGTGCGCGAGCACACACACACACACACACACACACACACACACACACACACACACACACACACACACACAGAGTCTCCCAGCCCTTCTTTGCCTTCTGTCAGTGCTGGTGTCTCTGGCCCATTAATGCTCTTTCTTCACCTTGAACCTCTATCTGGCCCACTCCTGGGCAGGCTCTTGGATCCCACTATCCAGCTCTCATCAGCATAAATACAACATGAATATAAGCCCCACTTTTCCTCCAATTCTTGCTTTGGACCAACCCTTGTAATTGGTGTTAATATTCAGTGTAGCCCTCCTTAATCAATTCAACAAAAATTTATTCACTGGACTGAAAGTCCTGTACTTGGTGTAAAGTAAAGATGAAAAGCTACATAATGTCTTGCCGAGGCTATGGACGTAAGGATGGATTACAGGATAGAATGTGACCTTGTTCAGTTGGGGATACAGCGGAAGCTTCATGGAGAAGGTGGCATCTGGGCTGGGCCTTCCAAAGGAAGGAAGAATTTCAGCAGATAGGAGTGGGGAGGGTGAGGAGAGGATGGAGCATGAGCAGTGGACTGGTGTGGGATGAAGGCAGGCCAGGCTTGTCAGAGGAGAAGCTGTGTGAAGGGGAGGGTAGTTTTGAGTGCAGGTAGACTTTTCCTTTCCAAGAATTATACTTTTAGACTTGCATGGGCTGATGCAAAGTGACGTGTACTTTGTGCGAAGTAACAGCAATATTATAAGATGATCGATCAGCTGTAAATGACTTAGCTATTCTCAGCAATATAACAATCCAAGACAACTCTGAAGGACTTATGATGAAAAATATCCGTCCCCAGAGAAAGAACTGAGGTTGTCTGAATACGGATTAAAACATGCTTTTTTTTTGGTCTGTTTTCTTTCACAACACAAGCATTATAGATGTGTTTTGCATGACTGCACATGTATAACCTATATCAAATTGCTTGCCTTCTCAGGGAAGGGGAGTGGGGAGGAAGGGAGGGAGAGAATTTGGAACTCAAAGTTTTAAAAATGAATGTTTAAAAAATTGTTTTTACATGTAACTGGGGAAAAGTAAAATATTAAATTTTTAAATACCAAAGAGATGTCTTTTGGAGGGGAGGAAGGCAGCTCCAATTGGGGAAAGATTCCGTTTGGACCAGTTCTGTAGTTTCTTCTCCCTGGGGTGTTTCCACTCCCTAACCATCCCCAGATGAGCTACCTAGTCGGGCGTATGCTGAGCTGGAGAAGGGGCTTGCTTGCTGGCATTTGGGGTAGAGAAGGATAATTGATAATCATAGGAACAAGTTCTCATTTTTCTCTCACTTCACCATTTACAAAGCACTTTCCTACAAAAACTTTAAAGTAGGTGATATTATTCCCATTTCATGGATTAGAAAAAAAGAACTGAGGCTTGAGAAGGGAGGTTTCTTGTCAGTCTCTTAGTGCTTAGGTGGAAGGTTTGGCCTCTGACATCCTCCCAGTCCTGTTCCAGGAGCTGTCTCCATGGGGGATGCCTTGGGTTGAGGGTAAGAAGTAGAACCCTAGAAAATGTTCCCAGGAAGGTGGGGGGAAGTTCCAGGACCAAAGGTGTTCCAAGATGGGTGATTGTGTTTCACACTAGAAGGGCTCCAGCAGCAGTGAGGAGGAAGGCCCTCTCAGCTTGGGCTCCTCCTGCTCTGTCTTGTCCCTTGAACTACAGTCAAAGCCTGGCATGGCACAGGGAGAGAACACAGTTTGAAGTCAGAACATTGGGGCTCAGATTCTAGCTCTGTGGCTTATTAAATGGGACAAGCCCTATACACCCTCTGAGCTTGTTTTATCCTTTGTACAATGAGGAGGGAGTAAAATTTTTATAAATTTTATTTACTTTTAGTTTTCAATATTCACTTCCATCAGCTTTTGAGTTTTAATTTTTCTCCCCTTCCCTCCTCTCCCCTCTTCCCCAAGAAGGCATGCAATCTGATATAGGCTCTACTTATATATTCCTATTAAACATTTTCACATTAGTCATATTGTAAAGAAGAATTAGAAGCAATAGGGGGAACCATGAGAAAGAAGAAACAAAACAGAAGGAAAAAAAGCAAATAGTATTCTTCCATCTGCATTCAGACTCCAAAATTCATTCTCTGGATGTGGATAGCATTCTCCATCATGAGTTTTTTGGAGTTGTCTTAGATCCTTGCATTGCTGATGCAATGGGCTTTCCTCATGGGCTGTCACAGGCTAGGAGAGGGATGAGGTACAGATCGACAGACAGCTAACAGATGCTCTGATGTGGTTGGAGCAAACAAAGCGCTTTGTGAAGTCAGCCTCAGCCAGGCGGAAAGGGCTCAGGAGAAGGCCATGCACTCAAGTTGGGTATCTTGGGAAAGGAGTCATTTGAGTTGGGCTTGCACAGAACTCAGCCTAAAGAAGAGGAGAGGAGGTGTGTGGACAGAAACACAGGACAACAGGGAACTCAGCTTGGAAGGTGGAGCAGTGTCAGCTTGCAGTGGGCCTTGAAAGGGGGCCAGACCTGAGGTCAGACAACTTAGGTTCCGATCCCTGCTCCAGGACTTCAGAGGTGTGTCACTAATCTTTCTGAGCGTCAGTTTGCTCCCTGTAAAATAGGGGGCCACCGCCTCAGAGGGTTGCGGTGAGGAAAGCACTTTATAAATAAATGGTGGGGCCGCGGAGAGGAGTCGCCTTGACTCTGGAGGCCAGTGAGAGCAAGTGAACATTGTTCTTCAGTCTCTTCTTAAGAAGGCAGTGGCAGGAGGGGTTGGTGGTTTGTGCCACACCTGGAAAATGGCTTTGATTTGCAACTGAACGTGTGGATTAAAACCGAGTCCAGATTGTTCCCGAGTGTCTCAAGCTGAGCAGTTCTTGCCAACCATGTGTTTACAGCCCCTTTCTTTCTTTGTTTCTGCAGGAAAGAATCTATATACAAATGAATACGTAGCTATCAAATTGGTAAGTGCTCTCCCTTGCTTCCCTAATCCACACTTTTCTCCTGGCAACTTTAATTGTTTTTGTGCAGCCCTGCTGGCTTCCCGCCCCAAACCCTTCCCCGGGCCTTGAACTACAGAGACTACATGAATTTGCTAAATCCCAACCTTACCTAGTTTTCATTCAATTCAGCCAGCCCCATGGGGGGATAGAGGGAATAAAAGAAATCTCAGAAAGGGGCTAACAGTCCGGCTCAGCTATTACCCAACAGACAGGGCAGGTTTGTCAGCACCAAGATGAGGACGGAGCACATCAAGAAAGTGCTCGGCCAGTCAAGGAAGGCCTCGGGAATGGGTGGGACTAGAACTGCTGAACCAGTTCGGCAAAGCCGTTCCTGAATTGTACCTGAGCTGGAATAATCGATCATTGGTCCCGGCTTAGTGGAGAGCAGACCAGTGCTGCTCGGGCAGGAGACCCGGTCTGCCTGCCCACTGTGGGCCTGGCCAGTGAGCAGCCTACAAGCTGGCTTTCTGGAGCTGCTCCACACACCCCCTTAGCAGAACCTGCCATGCCAAGGACTCAGCCTCGGCCTGCACTGCACCAGCCAGGCCTTGGTGTGAGGCCAGAGAGACGGGAAAAAACAAGAACTTTGGACGCCCTGAGTTCAGATCCTGCCTCGGCTGTTTACTCTGACCTCGGGCTGGAATTTCCTCATCTATATATGAAAGAGGTTTAAGGAATTGGATTGGATGATCTCTAAGGGCTCTTCCAGTTTTAAATCCTGTGATCAAGCTTTTAGGAATGGGCCCTTGCTGGCATTCTGAACTCTGCCAGCATCCCACATCTCTGACTTTTGCCCCACTAGACCCCTGGTTTTAATCTAGGGGAGAGAGAAATAGACTATCTTCCTCCAATGGAGGTCTTTTCTCTTCCCTGAAGTCGGGGTCCAAGTGGGACAAGGGACTGATTTTAGAGGTGTGCAGAAGGACTTGGCCACATTCATTTTGCAGTTGGGAAAAGGCAAAACATAAATAGCATTTTTCTCAGGCCCACTTTGTTTCATATACACTCTTCATAGCATGGGGACTTTGAGCTACACACCTCCAGCCATCGATACAGGCTATACTGCTTCACCCAGGCCTTTTTGTCACCCATACCACACACGGTCAGGGTTTGGGTTCGTGTTGGGGCTTACAGAATGAAACCCACTGATTGACGCAGGAAGCATGCATCTGTAGCCATGACTGCCTGGGGATTCTTGGCAGCGAACTATAGAATATCAGACTTGGAAGAGACCAGAGAACATGGAATGTCAGAGCTAAAGGCGACCCCAGAACACAGAACATCTGAGATTGGAAAGCACCGTAGGCTAGAGAATCATAGAATCTTTTTTTTTTTTAAAGGTAATTGGGGTTAGTGACTTGCCCAGGGTCACACAGCTAGTAAGTGTCAAGTGTTTGGTCTGAGGCCGAATTTGAACTCAGGTCCTCCTGACTTCAGGGCCGGTGCTCTATCCACCGCGCCACCCAGCTGCCCTGGTATCATAGAATCTTAGAGCCAAGATCTTAGAGGTCATCTAGTTCAACACCCTTATTCTACAGATGGGGAAACTGAGGTCCGAAGAGGTCACAGTAATTCAAGGTCACACTGTAATTCAGTGGCAGAGCCAGGACTAGAACTCAGATCTCTGGTCTCCCAGCCCAGCACTCTTTCACTTTTGCCCATGGTGGCAGGTGGGGACAATTTTACATCTCAGATGGATCTGAGAAATTAGTTTACATTATGCTTAGTGACCTGCACCGATGGGGCCAAGGCCATGGGTTCCATCTTCATGTAACTCAGTTGGTTCTGCTCCATTTCCTTGGCACATCTTGGACCATCGGTCCAAGGCAGCAGACAGGCAGAACCTCAGCAACAAGATGGGCCCATCAGCCCCGCTGGAGATGCCAGCGGAGCCCAGGCCACCCCAGAGCTGCTTTCTTTTTTTCCCCCTCCATCGGATTCTCTCCATCTCTTCATTTTCCTGAGAGTCCAGTGACGGATTCCTGGTGATGGCGGCCTGGTTGTCGTTCTGAGCTGGGCAGGGGATTTTCAGCCCATCCCCCGGACCCGTTCCTGTCATTAACTGTGGCCTCTGCCTGTTGTTCTCTCTCTCCTTCCCTCCCTCTCTGCCCTCTGAAGGAACCTATAAAGTCCAGAGCCCCACAGCTGCATTTGGAGTACCGGTTTTACAAACAGCTCGGCAGTTCAGGTAAGGAGATGTGCCCTGGGCCAGGGGAGGAAGGGCTGGGGTTGAAGAAACATTCTTCTAGTCTGAGAGTCAAGATGCCTGTGTTCAAAGCCCAGCTCTGCTCTGTGACCTTGGGTGAGCTGCTGCCCTTCTCTGGGGGCTCAGTTTTCCCCTTTGTTAAATGAAGGGGTTAGACTCTGTGATCCCCAATATCCTTTCCAGCTCGGACCTTCCGTGAGTCGAGGCTAGCTTCCCTTGTCTTGTCGCCTACCCCTAGCCTGCCGTGGGGGACTGAAGCCAAGGCTCCCCTCCCCAGGCTGATTGCCGGCGTTTTGACAAGCCAGATACAGGGGTAGGAAAGCATATTCATTCAGTGGAACGAGAGAGACGGTATAAGAGCTGTTGCAGTCTGGGCAGTGTGAGATCAGTTGGGTGCAGTGCTGAGTGCCGTGGGAGGTCAGAGGAGAGGGGAGCTCTAGGGGATGGGGGGGGTTGGAGGGGGGCTTCTTCTATGAGGTGGAATGTGGGGAAAGAGGCCTGGCCACTGCCCAGCCCAGCACACCCGAGGAGGCTGCCATGGAAGAATGCAGCTCGCAGAGCCGGATAGCTGCTCGCCCCAAATAGCTTCCAGCAGTAGGAGACATCACTCATCAGCAGACAGTGGAAAGAGCCCTGAACTGAGAGGCAGGAGGCCTGGGCTTGAGTCCTGGTCCCACCACTGACTCACAGTGTGACCTTGGGCAAGTCACACGCACATGTGCACGCACACATGCACCCTTGTTTCTCCCCGGTCCCTGTTTGATAACTTATGGGAGACCCAAGCCCATCTCTCAGGAGGAATATGAATATGATCAGATAGCGCCAGAAGGGCCAGGGGGATGGAATCCACACCATCGGTAGAAACTGGGGCCAAGAAGATGTGGGCGGGAGAGGCTGTGGCGGACAAGCTAGTCTTCACATACGGCCTTGGGAGGGAGGCTGCCCCACTGGAGTCCATGGTGGGCATAGGATAGAGAGCGGAAGGACTGTGAAAGATCATCCAGGCCAACCTCCTTGCTTTAGAGGGAAGTGACTTGCCCAAGGTCACCCAGATAGCTGACAGAGCCTAGAGATGGGGTTCTTTCCACTCCCCAGCAGCCTCACTGCACATGTCTTTGCTGCTTTTTCCTACACTCCTGTGTTCTGCAGAAGGGATTCCTCAGGTTTATTACTTTGGCCCGTGTGGGAAATACAACGCCATGGTGCTGGAGTTGCTGGGACCCAGCCTGGAAGACCTGTTTGATTTGTGCGACAGGACATTCACTCTGAAAACTGTGCTGATGATTGCCATTCAGCTGGTGAGGTCCCAGGGTGATGGGGGGTATTCTGTGGCCTGGGCCTGCAGAGAAGGGGAGAGAGGTGTCTGCAGGGCAGAATGGACGGGAGTCTGTGTCTGCCTCTAGGGGCCTGATGGCCCACAGGAGGTGACAGGGAGAGAAGGTGGGCCACTGAGTGCAGTTAGAACAGACAGCCTGGAGAAAGGACGGAGGAAGTGAAGACCCTCAACATGTATCTGAGGCCCCAAACCCAGGGATTCCTGGACCCCCTGGTCCTCGCTTCAGATCCCAGCTCTCTCCTAGTTGGGGGCTGTGGTTCTAACAGTTCTATAGGGAGGGCAGGGTTGTCTTCTTGGCCATCACCCTCAAGTTTTATTGTCCTCAGCTACCCGTCAGAGAGCTCCCCTACGTGAGTTTACTTCTGAGGGACAGATGAGACCCCCATCCTGGGCCCAGCCTTGGCCCCTCTCCTGCTCCCTTTCCAGTCCAGAGAGGCCCCCTGGGTCAGTCTGGTCACAGGTAGCCCCTCTCCAGTTCCAGCAAGTGTTTGTCGTCTTCGTCACCTTCTCCTGTCGGAGGAGGAGCATTTAGGTAGGCAAGAGGCAGGCTCACCCTGAGTTCCAGGCCCAGAGACTGACACAGGGCCGAGCAGGGAGAGCAGAGAGGCGGGGACAGCCGAGAACACTGAGGGGGTGGTGGGCCGGGCGCTGAACGGGCCTGGCTGTGGCATCTTCGTGGACTCCCCACCCCCTAGATCACACGGATGGAATACGTCCACACCAAGAGCCTGATATACCGCGACGTGAAGCCGGAGAACTTCCTGGTGGGCCGGCCGGGGAGCAAGCGCCAGCACACCATCCACATCATCGACTTCGGCCTGGCCAAGGAGTACATCGACCCCGAGACCAAAAAGCACATCCCCTACCGCGAGCACAAGAGCCTGACGGGCACGGCGCGCTACATGAGCATCAACACGCACCTGGGGAAAGGTGTCCGGGGAGGGGGCTTCGAGGCGCAGCATCCCAGAGGGCAGGGTTGGCCCCAGTTCTTCTGGCTGGCGGCTTGGGGACCCCTCACACAGAGCCCATGAAGCGGTAGAGAGCCCAGCATTGCAGATGAGGGAAGGGGCAAGTGAACACGTGTGCGCATGCGTGTGGGCTTCCCCAGGAAGGATGCCTGCCTGCCCGTACTGGGGAGCATGCTTAGATGAGGGGGGGTCAGTCCAGGAAGGTTTGGCTTTCACTGAAGTAGAGGCGTGCTGTTCAAAGGGAACGGAATGAAAAGGAGTTTCGGTGCAAGAACGGGAGCTGTTAGACTTGGTTTCCTAGAAAGCCCCACCAGGCCTGTCAGAGAGCCTGACACCCCAGGGTCACATCCCCCATAGGCAAGGCCTAGGAGAGTGTGCGTGTGTTCATATGGGGGGAGGGGTAACCCAGCCTGGCAGAGAGTGACCATCGCTCCCTGTGGTGCCCACGTGTGGCCAGGGTTTGGTCTTCCCTTGGAAGTCCAGCAGCCCCGAGTGTCTCTAGGCCTGTCTCCCTCTTGGAGCTGGGCTTCCTTCCTTCGGCAGAGATTCTGTGCCTGCGCTGGGAAGGGCTTGCTCAATGCTGGCACTGGCGGCGGCAGTAGGACGTTTAGACGGGTCTGGTGCTTCCCTCGCTGAGCTCACAGTTCAGTTAGATCAGACGCCAGCATAGGCGAGCAGGCAGCGTCACTGACAAATGCATTAGGGGGGTGCTGATCCCGGGGTCCCCGCAGACGCGCAGTAGGTAGGCATTGTGACATGCTTCCCGTGTGCTGCTTCTGCAGAGCAGAGTCGGCGAGATGACCTGGAAGCTCTAGGCCACATGTTCATGTACTTCCTCCGTGGGAGCCTTCCCTGGCAAGGTCTTAAGGTAAATAGTGCCCAGTGGCTGCAGGGCTGAGGATCGCAACCAGATTGCTCACTCTCGCTAACTCTGGCCCTTTGAGCCCAATGTGGTGTTTTACATTTTAGTCTGAAGGGGAGCTAACTGCAGCATGCATGCCCTGGTTTATTTTTGCATCATTTGAATTAAATAGTTTCTATTGTGTGTGCTCAGGGCATTTGGAGACGCTTGAATTCTGTATCTCATCTGACTATTTTGGCCCATTCCAGAACCCACTTTATCATCTCACCTTTTCCACACAAGCCCCCTGAAGGTCAGAGGTGAGCTGGGATGGTGCTTTATAGACCCCAGCAGAGAGAGCAAATTACCAAAACGAGCGAGCCTGGGGTGCCTCACACCCAGCCCTTTACACACTAGAAGACCACAGTCAGATCGCCTACTTTAGCCCAAAGCCCGGCGTGTGGCAGGCCTGTCTCCTGCAGCCTTTCAGCGTGAGAATTCAGGGACAGATGATGGTCAGCCTCAGGCTCCCCCTTCATTGACAGTTTAGGGATGGTGCCAAGAGCAGTAGCCACGGGGACACGTTGATGCGTGATGCTGCCATTGTGGGCCACCTCAAGGGGTCTGACAGTGCAGCAGGCACCCCCCGGGAAGGCTGCCTGGCCCCGGAAAGGAGCAGTGGTGGCAGCTCCTCCTCAGCCTGGAAACCGACGGCGCTTCAGTCCAAGCAGCCTTGGATCGAAGAGTCCCCTGGCTTTTGCTCTGCTGACTCAGCCTCAGCATGGGGCTCAGTGTGGACAGCGGCACTGAGCTTGGGCCTAGCTGTGGCTTTCTCCTCTAGGCAGACACCCTGAAAGAACGGTATCAGAAGATCGGGGACACCAAGAGAGCGACGCCAGTTGAGGTCCTCTGCGAGAACTTCCCAGGTAAGTGGACCTTTCTCCCTTCAGCCATGTGGGATCACGGACGGCCTCTGCCCCTGCAGTGATGCCTCTCGGTGTCTGTCCTGGGCCAAATTGCCCCACTGGCTGCTCCAGAGTCTTTCATCAGAAGTATACGTGGTTTAAGTCTGCTTCCTGTCCCCTACCCACAAGGCCAGTGAGGTTCCCACCCTCCTGGCTGAGACCGACATCACCTTCAGTCTGCCCCTGTGACTAGGGGAGCCACCTTGGATGGTTGAAGCCTCAGGTGTTGAGCATGTGCTGCTCCCAGGCCCTGATGTGAGCAGGTAGAAAGTCCTGCCAGCCTCTATCAGAGTGAGTCTAATGAAAGAGACACAGCCCTGGCCTCTGCACCCCATACGGCCGACTTGTAGAAAGCACCTTTACAGAGGGCAGGCTCCTTACATGGCATCCCCCTCCCCTCCTATCTGTGCAGAGGAGATGGCCACTTACCTGCGCTATGTGCGGCGGCTGGATTTCTTTGAGAAACCCGACTATGACTATCTGCGGAAACTCTTCACGGACCTATTTGACCGCCATGGATTCGTGTTTGATTATGAATATGACTGGGCTGGAAAACCCCTGGTAGGACACCACCCCACCCCCCAGGCCTGCACTGCTTCAGCTTCTGACTGTGGGCTGAAGGGACCCCTTGAGGGAACTGCCCACCCTCCTGTCCTGTCACAGTGGGGAGCTGGATCCCATACGTGGGGCCCACAACCCCTGACCTTCCTTTGTTCTGCCTTCCAGCCAACCCCGATTGGCACCATCCACAGTGATGTCCCTGTCCAGCCGGTGAACCGGGACAAGGCTCAGTCCCACACCAAACACCAGGTAAGGGGGTGCTTGGGGGGATCGACACGTGTCTCCTCACGAAGGCTCTCAGAGCCCTTCTTGAAGGACAGTTAAAAGCTCATTCCTTAAGCACCTGGCTTGTGCAGGGCTTTGTGCTAGTAGGTGATGGGGGTATGGAAACAAGGCCTGTCTGTACATAAACACAGATAAGCAGACTACAGAGTCTGAGGGAAGGGGGGTGAAGGAAAATGACGGGATGGAGACCTCTTAGTGCCTGTACAGATAACACAGCGGTGGGAGACATAGGGCACAGTCAGGGAACCGCTCATTTGGTGGCGATGTCCAGGCTGTGAAATAACAGAAAAGGTGGTTTGGAGCCGGACTCTGGGGAGTCTTAGGACTTGGCATTTTATCCCAGTGGCAGAGTGCAGTGGACACCCAGGTGAACCAGGAAGGTGATTTTGGCAGCTCTGTGAAAGCTAGCCTGGGGAGGAAGGCGGGAGGCAGGGAGCCATCTGAGAGGCCATGATGACCTGCTGCAGGCTTCTGGCAGGGGAGAGGAGCTGCTGTGCACAAAGAAGGGCCCGCATCAGCAGCTCCTTGTGGGAGGGCAGGGTCACAGACGATGCTGGGGCTCTGAGCTGGCATGATGGAGAACGTGGCTCCGAGCCCCTTACTCCATATCTTGATTCCCTTCCTGGCATGGGAAAGGGAACTCTGGGCTTGAAGTCAGGGAAACCTGAATTCAAGTCCTGACGCATGCTTACTAGCTCTGTGACCTTGTGTAAGTCATTGAAGTTCTTTGTGCCTCGGGCAGCTCAAACCTTGGAGTTCATCTACTGAGCACCTTGGTGGGTGGCACCTGCACTGAGAGAGGGACTTGTAACATCAGGAGCATCCCATAATGATGAAATGACCTCCCTCAAATTCTCATAGACATGACAGTGATCTCCCAGGGATGAGGGGGACAGACATGGGGGGTGCCGAGGGAGCCCACAGGCACCCCCCTCCCTCCCAGACCCCAGTCCCCCAGGTTTCCTCCCCCAGGCTCCACTCCCTGAGCTGTTCTGCGGGTCTCACGCCTTCCCTTTTGCTTTCCCCAGGTGATGAGCTCCACCAATGGTGAACTAAACACTGATGACCCGACAGCCGGCCACTCCAATGCCCCCATCACGGCCCCTGCGGAAGTGGAGGTGGCCGATGAAACAAAGTAAGCTGCCCGGATCGGGCCCCACTCTTCCTCTGTCAGCAAGTGTTCATTGCCCCCTGCTCTGGGCTAGGACACAGTCTCCACCCTCAAGGATCTTACCTGCTATGGGGGAGTGTGCCAGGCACTGAAAGGCAAAAAAATGCCTGCCCCCCAGGAGCTTCCAGTCTAGCGGGGGAGCCTGCATCTCCCCGCAGCATCAATGGAAGGTTGTGTCAGAGGGGAAGGCAGCAGCACTGAGGGGAGGAGGGGAGGAGATGGAGGATTCCAGGCACGCGGGACGGCCAGGGACCATGTGTGGAGGAGGCCAGTGTCCCCGAGTCACACAGAATGGGGGACACACACGGGACAAGGGAGATGTGTGGGAGGCTTTTCTGATTGATCTGGAGGTCATGAGGAGGAGAGGGACACGGTCAGACCTGGGTTGTAGTAAGATCCCTCTGGCAGCCAAGGGGCCGATAAACAGAAGAGCTGGGAGACCGTTTGGCAGGCTGCTGCAAGAGTCCAGGGGTGCAGTCATGGCCCCCAGCATGGTGGCAGTGTTGGCATACAGATCTAGGAAGTAGAAAGAGAATAAATACATGTTGTATCAGAATGTACAAACGAGGCAATTGAGGAGGCTGGGCGGCAGCAGCGCAGCTGAGCTGCACCTGGGAGGCAGCATAAGAGGATTCCCTGAGGCGGCAGCAGGGAGAGGAGGCTGGCTTGTCTGCCCTGCACTGGGCAGCATTGGCACATGTGTAGAGAGCTGGCCTGGGGTCCAGGGGTGAGCAGTAGGGAGCCACGGCAGGTTGATGAGTTGGAGCAGCGCTGCAGTCACACTTTGGCCAGTATGTGGAGGACGTGTTGGGAGAAGGCGGAGCGCGTAGTGAGCAAAAGAGAGGATGGTAGCGGAAAGGGAGAAGGGGTGGGGGGAGGGCGGGCTGGCTACCCACTGGATGCGTAGGAGGTAGAGTAAGAGCACACCAAGGCCACGGACCTGGGATACTCAAAAATGTCCGTGGTGGTTGCAGGAATAGGGATGCTGGGAAGGTGAGTGGGTTCGGGGTGGAAAGGGAAGATTCATCTCTCTCTGGGACATCCAGTTTGAAATGCTGTCTAGGAGGTGGGGACATGGGATTAGAGGTTCAGGACAGGGACTGGGGCTGGAGATAGATAGAGCTAGCAGAAATCTGCAGAGACACGGGAGCTGGTGAGGGCACCCGTCATTTATTGTGCCTACTGTGAGCCAAGCACTTTGAGCCCCACAACAACCCTGGGGGTGGGAGTCATTATGTTCCCCATTTTGCAGATGGGGTGACTGAGGCAAACAGAGATCCAGTGGCTTGCCCAGGGTCACGCATCTAGGAAGCATCTGAGGTCAAATTTGAACTCAAGTCTTTCTGACTCCAAGTCCAGCAGTTCTGGCTACCAGTTGAGAGCGTGTGTATAGAGAAAAAGGGAAGAGGGTCCAGGACCGGGGGCACGTCGTGGGGATGATGCATCACTCACACTGGGGGGGAGGGGGGGACCAAGAGACCGGTGTCATGGAACCCCAAGTGGAGAGGACAGGGTGGGGCTGAATTGGTTAACTCCTGGTCAGGGGACACGGGGACAGAGCAAGAGGCCTGGAGATCTGGGCATGGAGGGACAGAAGGGGTAGGAGCTGCGCTCAGACGGGAGGTTGCAGTTTTTGACCTGAGGCAGAAGGAACAGTTGTGGGTAGTGGCTGCCCCTGTGGGCATGCCCTAGGTGAGGCAGAGGAGCCTGGAGAGAGGAGGGAGACAGGCCTTGGCCAGGTAGAGCGACACCCGCAGAGGTAATATCTGGAAGGGGCAGGAGGGGAGCTAGGCATGTTCCGGCCCCCTCTCCGGTGGCCCTGTGCATGGGAGGGCCGGCTCTGGTGACAGGCAGGATGGCGAGGCGGTGTCCTCTGGCGGCGCTGGCGATGACCGGCCCTCCACCCATCTGCTTTGCCCTCTAGGTGCTGCTGTTTCTTCAAGAGGAGGAAGAGGAAATCCACACAGCGGCACAAGTGAGCCTCTGGGGCCCAGGCGGACCGACCGGAGCTCTGTCGTCTCCACCCTTTCTGGCCCCAGAGATGGCAGGTGGCCCCTGCCTGTGGCCCTGCCTCCTGCAGCCGGGGCAGGGGGCGGCCAGGAGAGAGGCCAGGAACAGAGAAGCCAGGGGGAGGAAGGGGGACCAGTAGCCCCAGCCCCCGCCCCCCTGGGCCCAGGGGTCACCTACTCCAAGCAAGACTTTGGCAGAAATTCCTACATCTGTGTCTCGTCCAGTCCACCTTGAGAGCGCTAACTATTTAAAAACCACACACCAAGGAACCGAAGCCCACCAAGAAAGCACTTCCCCCCACCCTACCCCCATCCCTTCACCCTTCAGTTTGAGGTTTGACTCGCGTGCATCAGGGATCGACCCCTGCAGACTCCGTCTCCGCGTGCACGCTGAGGTCTAAGGTGAAGCCTGGGAGGCCCTCGCGCCTCATCGTCCTCAGTTTGACCTTCACCACTTAGTGTTACAAAATCCAGCCTTTTTCTCTTCCTCTTTCAGAAAGGCCATTCTGTCCTGGTGGGGGGAGGAGGGAGTTGAGGCGCCCACTCACCTCCCCTGGTGTATCTTCTTTGGGGGCCGGGCTATGCCTTGTTACCTGTGCACTTTGATCATCCAGTGGTTCTGGGGGGGCAGAAGCTAGGAGAAAGATGAGGGAGGTGGAGATAGATGGCCCCCAGACCCAATCAGAGGGGGCTGGGGAGGGCTGAAACCAAAGGGAAGGGGGAAACTAGTCCCCACAGCTGGGAAAGTAGACGCCACCCCAAGGTCTCACCCGACATGCAGGGTGGTTCAAGCTATTCCACGTGTTCTCTCTTCTCCCCCCACCTCACCCTAATCGGAGCCAAAAATGCTGTACCAAAGCCCTGGGGAATTTGGGTCTCCCCGGAAGGGCAGGGTGGGGACCCAGGGACAGGGCTGCCTGCAGCAGCCGAGTCCCCTCATACAACCCCACCCACCTCGGGGAAAGGCGAGCTCAGCCGGCTGTACCCCGCAATGGTGGCGCGGCCTGGCGAGCAGCCCAGAGAGGTCTACCAGGGGTACTTGGGCCCTCTTTGATGGCCCTGGGACGAGGCATAGGGCTTCAAACACCCTTGCCCTCAGTGGTGTCCCAAACCCTGATCCTCTCCCATCCCCCCTTATCAATTTTCCTGCTCACTGAAGGCTGTCCAGAGATTCACGGTCAGCCTGACTCCTCTTCCTCCCCCCACGCCCATCCCACCCCCTGCCAGCGTCCGGGGACAGCGGCTCCTTTAACACCCCATCCCCTAAGGTTGCTCTCTAAGAGCCGGTGACGCGCACTGGGCATTTCCCCTTCTCCCCAGCTCGCGCCAAGGACGACAAAACGCCTTAAGACCCCGGCACCCCTGGAGAGGGTCCGAGGACGGGTACGTGTGGCAGGGGAGAGGGGTGCACCAGTCACTGGTGGCCACAGCAGACCGACCTAAACCCAAGCGCCCTTTCACCTCCTCCTCCCCAAAGGAAAGGGTCCAGGGGAGCATTGGCCCAGTCTGTACATGACTCTGCCTGTCAAGTGTCACTTCTTTTGGTCCATGTGTCTGGCTTGGCTGAAAAGCAGCAGCTTGAGGCTAGAAGACATATCCCCGTTCCAGACCCGAGGCCCAGCGTCAAGGTCGTACCTGCGTGGCTCCACGGCAGGCAAGCGAGCGTCCATTGTGAGTTTAGTTACTGCTTTACAGTGTACAGAAATGGCATTTACATTGCTCTGATGCTTCCTGGAAGCCATAGAATTTAGGGGCTTTTTAAAAAAAAAATAAACAAAAATGAAAAAGAACTCGAGGCCGAGGCCTTTCCTTGCTCGGGCATCCCTTGGAGGGGGCGGGGGGTGCTGGAGGTAGGGTGTCCAGAGAATTAGACTGCACGTAGTTCTTTCTTTGGGACATAAAACCGAGGTGGGAGGGCTCAGAACATAACAGATGTCAGAACCAGAAGACGCCTCAGAGGTCATCTTGTCTGAGAAACCGAGATGTGACTTGCCTTAGGCCACAGAGCAAATTAATGGCAAAGCCAGGATTCGAATCCAGGGCTTAGGACACTAAGCCTCATGCTCTTTTTACCATACCCAGTGCCTTCTTAGAAAAAAATAAGATCATGCTAAATGCACCATCGGACCAAAACCCCTTTGAACTTGCTCTCTGCTGATTCAGAAGGGCAGTGGTCCTAACAAACTTCACCCAGCCTTGGGAAAGAGGGAGTGGCACAGGACACACGGTCTCATTGTGGGGATGCCCACAGCCCCGTATAGGTAGGCCTAGGATTCTCTTCCCTACGTTACAGCCGTGCTGAGGCCTTGCCCTCCAATCTTCCCACTTCCCACCCAACCATCTGTCATACATTAGACAGGAGATCAAATACAAATCCGAGTACCAACTGGATGGCTCGGAGCTCTGGCAAAGCTCTTTTCTCAAGGTGCCGAGATCCTCAGATCCTCCTGTCGTGGAGGGAAAGTCCGTGCCCGTCCTGGCTCCACCCCCGACAGCCACAGGCTGACTGGGAGCCAGAAGTCGCCTCCCTTCTCAGCCTGTTTGTACTTGGGAGGAAGCTAGTTTGAAAGTGGGAGATGGCTAGAGAAAGGGGCCCTTTATTATTACTGTTTCTCACATGAGCTTTTAGTCCAGCCTCAGTCTACCTGCCAAGCTCAGGTCTGCCAGCCGTGTTTGGAAAAGGCAGAGAACAAGGTTTTTCACAGTTGTCAGAAATAATGCTCAGGATGAAGATGTGCTCTCACGCCCCCAGGAGCCACGCTCAGACTGCCAGCCACTGTCAGATAACCATCAAAGCTCACCGCTTCCGAATGGGAAGGCACGTGCTATCCGTCTCATTTCTGACTTTGTCTTTAGTGCTGGACCACGGAAGGTACTTCAGGATTGCTTGTTGGATGGGATTTGAAAGGCCCTAGTCAGGTTAATGACGCAACACATTAACACAGATGAAGAAAAGGATCTCGAGTGGGTTGTGGGCAGGATCTGGTTCTCTGCAGGTGCCAGGACCCCACCTCATTGCTGGCTCTCCCTCAGGGCCCCAGGCCACAAAGGGCTTCAAAGGCTGTTGTCACGCTAGGCTTTTAGACTAGCCCTAAACAGACTGCCCTCATGAGAAGGCCTAAGAAAAGCATTGTGCAATGCCAGCCACATTAAGAGTATGCATCAGATAGGAAAAGTGAACACTCCCAAAGTATAGAGGGACAGGGCTGCAGGAAACGTTTAAGTTGAGGAATCTTCTACCTTCTATCACAGGGAGAACGAAGGCTTCCCTTAAAGAATGAAAAGAGGCTTCAAAAATAAACTATCTTAAAGGATGCAGAGTCAATGGGGAATCCTCACCTCTTTGTCACATGGTTGTAAGGTGAAAGAAAGACTTTCCAGAGGAGAGGTAGACTCCCCTTTCATGTGCTCCAATGAATAATGGATGATCAAGGGAAAAAGAATGGTTGGAGTTGGTAAAACCAGCGTGGAAGCAGGTATTTTGGCCCTGAAAAAACGAGAGGGATGCTATCTCACCACAATGCAGGTCTAGAATGTGATGGAGGACCTGTTGAGACCTGGCCCGCAACTGCTCTCCACTTGTGATGATTCGCGTAGGAACCAGCATTAACACCAGAAGGGACCTGCTCCATAAAGAAGAAGCTCAGCCCCCTCCTGATGACGTGACCTCTGGCCACCCTCTCCAGTACCAGTTCCACTTTTACTCATACCCCTCCTCCACACACTTGATGGGGGAGGAAGTCATAACACGGGGCTGCCCACAGCCACTTCCAGACTTTCCTACCACCATCACTCAAGAATCTTTGAGACTGTATTTCTTGCCCAGTGAAGGTTCTGGTAGCTATTATGTACTGACCTCCAGGATGGTCTTCCTTCCTTCCTCCCTCCCTCAGCCTAGCTCAGTCCTTCTCTCCTACCTAACTCCTGTCATCATACTAGGGGACTTCAACATATTAACATTCCCTCTAGTACCCTAGCTGCCCAGTTCCTCAATGTGCTCTTCCCATGACCTACTTCTTTGCCCCAACACATCTATACACGGATACAATCGTGCCCCTAATCTTGCCATCACCCCAAAGCATTCCACTTCCATGTTCACAAACTCAGAACTTCCTTTATCTGACCAGTCCTTTATCATTTCATCATCTTTCCTTTGATCTTATCCATCCTCTTAACTTCTGTCTTCATTGTGACCTCCAATCTCTCCACTGTACTTGCTACACATTTTTTAAAACAATATTTTCCCCCAATTACATGTAAAAAAACCATTTTAAACTGGTTTTTACAATTTTGAGTTCCAAATTCTCTCCCACCTTCCTTCCCCTCCCCCATTACTGAGAAAGCAAGCAGTTTGATAAAGGTTATACTTTGTGGTCATGCAATATTAGTCACATTGTGAAAGAAAACCCCAAAAAGCCCCCAAGAAAAATAAGGTGACAGCAAGCTTCAGGGTGCATGCAGAGTCCACCCGTTCTTTCTCTGGAGGTGGATGGCATCTTTTCCCCATGGGTCCCTCAAACTGTTTTGGATCTCTGTACTGCTACACTCATTACTTCCCCCATCTTGACCTCTCGATGAGCCAGTTCAACAGTTCAACTCAACCCTCTTCTGAGTCCCTTGCCCCCTTAATGCCAAGCTTGTTAATAAGCTTATTAATGCCTTAGCTTATTCCCACAAGTCACTCTCAATAGTTCTATTTTCACATTTCTAAATGGAGAAGTGAAAAATGCCAAACCATGCCGACTGGGTCCACTGCAAATTCATGTTGTATCATCTCAGCTGGACCTCTGCAGTCCATTCACACCTCCCTAATTGATTGACTCTCCCCCTCCCCTCAGCAAATTTTCCATCTCTTCTTAGGTCTTTTTTCAACGTCTGAAAATGCCTCTCCCCACCCTCACCTGAGAACCTGGCTTCCTACTTTACTGAAAAAACTAAGGTCATTCCCTGAGCGCTCCCTCTCTCTTCCCTCCTCCGCACATCACACAGATGCCATTTCCTCCCATCTCCCACACCCCATGAAGAGGCAGCTCTGTTTCTCCAATGCAAACCAACTCCCCATCCTGCTTGAGTATTTACCATTCCGTCCTATCTTCTTCAACAGATTGCTTTCTAGTCTATCATCAGCTTCTTCCTCTCTTCTGGCTGCTTTCCTGATGCCTACAAACACGCCCATGTCTCTGCCATCCTTGAAAACCCTTCCCTTGTTCTGACCATCCCTCCTAGCTTTGGTCCCCCATCTCCTCTCTTTTCCTTCTACATCCTCACTGACTTTTATTCTCTCTCTCCTCCCTCTTTCTCCTTGATTCTCTTCTCTCCTGGTTTTTTGTGACACTGGTCTCTCATTGTGATGGTTCTCAATCTCTGCCAGATCACAAGTCATGCTCACTAAACGTGAGCTCAGATCTGGCACTCTTCTCTTCTGCCTGTATACTGTTTTACTTGGTGGTGACATCAGCTTCCATGGATCTGTATAAATGATTCTCGCATTTATCCAGCCCTAAGCTCCAGAATGTCTCCAGCTGCCTACTGTACATCTCCACAGATATTGGAAAGCTCAACATGGCCAAAACTGAACTCCTCCTACTTCTCCCCTTCTCCAAACCTCCCTATTATTGCCAAGGGCACCACTGTCCTGCCAGCCAGGTCACAACCCAGGTGTTGGTGTCATCCTTAAACCCTCACTCTGCCTTCCACCCCCCACCCCCATATCCATCTGTGGCCAAGGCCCATCCATTTTATCTTCATGGCTTCTCTTGTATGTATCATCTTTCCATGCACATTGCTGCTAAACCCCCATCCCTTCACACTTGGACTACTGCAATAGCCTTCCTTCTGGCTCTCCAGGATCAAATGTAGATTTTTGTTTGGCTCTAAAGCCCTCCATGATCTGGCCCTTCTTAATTTCCCACCCCTAACCCCTCGCCCCCCCATGACCCACTGACCTAGGCCTCCTCACTATTCTTTGCACATCTCCACACTCTCTGCCTTTACAGTTCTCCATGCCTAGAATACTCCCACTCCTCACCTCTACCTACTGGCTTCCCTTAAGTCTCAGCTAAAAATCCCACTTTCACGAAGTCTTTCCTGATGGTTTCCCTCCTCAAACCTCCCTCCCTGTTAAGATTACCTCATGTTTACAGTGTGTGTGTGTGTGTGTGTGTGTGTGTACATACACGCTTGTACATAGATGTTTGCACCACCATCTCCCCACTCAAAAGGAAGCCCCTCAGGAGGCATGGCCTATTTTTTGTCTGTTGTATCCCCAGGGATTAGCAAAGGCCTGGCACACAGTAGGCACTCATGCATACATGTTGACTGAGTGATGGTTAACACTGACAGATCATGAAGTCCTGGGCACCAAACTGAAGGCTTGCACGGCTGCAGGTGGGTTTTCACCCGTGCTGTTCATGGACCATAGTGGGGGCACTTCTGATGAAAAAGGCAGATGTGGGAGAAGACCACTGTTTAAGGAGTTTGAAAACTGAATCTGGATTTCTAGTCCGTGGCTCAAAATAGGAGCATGATGGATTTGGGGCCAGGGAACGTAGGGAATTCAGGCTAGTGAAAAACATGTTTATCTGGACTCCTACAGATTGATCAAGAGGATTTTAAGCACAAAGTGGGAGAAAACTGCCTCCATGCATGCATGCATGCATTTGTATATGTATTTACGTGTATACACACATACACTTGTATATGTGTGTCTCTGGGTATAGTCACATACATGATTTATGGTAAATGTACTCTAAACCAGACGCCAGAGCGAAGCAGCAGAAAACAGATCCAG